ACTGAGGCAGCAAAGAAAGAAAGAAAAGAGAAACAGAAAAACAAGAGATTCCACACAGAAAAGAGTCTGTAAAAGGAATTCTCAGAATGATGTGGCAGGAACCCCCAGGATGATAGCTGCATCAGGCATAGCCTTTATAAATTATAAAACTACTGCACACTTCAAAGTATTTACACTGATTTAAAATATTTATACATATGTATGTATGCAGAACCCAAAGTCTTACCCACTAAACTTGTATTTTTCAGATTATAAACTTGTGACCCTTTAGCAGGTTTGTTTCTAAAATGAATGAGAACAGAAAGGGGTAGAAAAATAAGAGATATTGCACATGGTAAATTTTTTCATGAACCTTTATATAGGTGCACACAACAGTGCATAATGTAAAATACATTTTTAACTGTGAACAAAATAATTTTAAGTCACTAATCTTTAGTACATTATAAGTACTTTTAGGCTTGTCTTTTAAAGTGAGAGATGACAATCTATTTTAAAACAAAAATGGAAACCGTGGACATCTAATGAAAATATTCCATTGTAACATTCTTCAAAATACCACTGATATCATGCATGAAGAATGCTCACTCCTATATTAGTGAAATCTAAATACTCTGCTTTCTTATAATCAACTTTGTAATACTGAGCCATAGAGAAGAATAACAACACAGAAAATACACTAAAACTCAAAGTCACCTAGATAATGTAGAATATTACTGATTCTTTGGTGATGGATCTTTTTCATTTGATATGATTTCAACTAATTTTTCCATTTTCACTCTACAGTTTTACTTGAGGAGAAGAAACCATCCTAGAAACTGTTGTAGTAGCAGGGGAAACCAGTCTGGGGGAATAAACAATCAAAAACTGGCAACATATAATCCATAAACTGGAAAATATAGATGCAGTCGAATCGACCAAGCCATAGCTTTCTTCCATTAACCAACCTTCGTGTACCTTGTAAGCTACACTGCCTACCTTCCAATATGGAAAAACTGGGCCAGGAGTTAAAACTTTGATGCTCTTTTACTAAGAGCCTAAATTTATCCAATTTTTCTTTTAACTTAGCTAGGTTATATACGCACACTGCTTCAGTTGCTTACCCTACAATTTACTTGGTTTAAAACAATCAAGAACAAAAATTTCTGTACAAAGCAAGTTCCATTACATTCTGATGATAAAGCTTCACTTCCTAAAAGCTACAAAGATCAGACTGATATATACATGGGTATATATAGTTTTTATGGGCTTCCACAGTGGCTCAGCAGTAAAGAATCCCACCTGCAATGCAGGAGATGCATTAGATCCCTGGGTTGGGAAGATCCCCTAGAGGAGGGCATGGCAACCCACTCCAGTTATTTCTTACCAGGAGTTGGGGACAGAGGAGCCTGGTGGGCTACGGTTCACAGGATTGCAGAGTCAGACATGACTGAGCACACACAAACATGTATGTTTTTAAAACCACAACTACCACCCATACTGGATTTTTTTTTAAAGGAGTCAACCTACTGTTATTAAAGGATAGAAAAGATATTTGTGGGAAATATATATATATATATATATATATTTGTGTGTGTATTTGAAAGTATGCATGGGAAATCAATAACAGAGATCACCTTTTTTGTTTTGGGAGAGGTGAGAGGATATAAAGTGTAAGGATGACAGCAGGAATGAGAGGAAGATTTTGCAATGGATACTTTGATTTTTAAACTATTACATATTTTGGCAAGTTAAGGGTTCTCATTCTGTCCTCCTTCCTGAATTGCCTGGCTCCGGCACCCTGCTTCACATTCTGCACGCACGCACACACAATCAGCCAGAAGTAATCTGTGGCAGGTATGCTTTCAGTTTCTTTGACTAAGGACTTTCTACCGATCTTGAAAAAGTGAACCTGCACTCTTAGCACCCCCCATGACCAGCACAAATGCCACCTGTCTTTACAGGATGCCAAGACCCCAGGTCACGTCCACAGCCCCTCCTCAGCATTCCCATCACGGTGCAAACCATCACCACGCAGACATTTGCTGAGGGTCTGCTATGTGCCAGGTGCGGTGGTAGGAATGGGAGACAAAAGTCAGTAGGACAAAGTTCCTGCCTTCCCAGAGCTCACAGCCGAAAGGAGAGGAGACAGAAGAGGAAACAGGCAATTTTCAAGGGATATGGTATATATAATGGCAAAAGCATAAGCTAAATGATCTACCACACTATATTTTAACTAGTTTTACTTCTCTCTTCTCACATCTCTCAAAGGAGTGAGCCTCCGGCATAGGCTCTGGGTCCACAGTGGTCTTTGGATCCCCCATGCTGAGCATGGCACCTGCATGATCTGAACTTCATAATGAACTTCATACATGTTTCCTGCATTGTAGTGGAATGGTATGTTAAGAAACCCATCCACATAACTCTTAATGTTTCAGAATGGTTTATTAACTATCAACTATTAATCTAGACTTCTGTGGTACATTATAATCTTAGAATTTTAGGACCAAAACCAACATCTTTAACGTCAGAAGCCCTGTGATCTTTTAGACCTTAACATGTAGTCTTGGCTTTGATTCCATACAGGGGGAAATTATGAAAGCTAAGCCTCTCCGTTTCTTCCTGGAAACCAATGTACTCTTGCTTGTTTTTACTAGTAGGACTGAAAACTTGGACCTAGTAACTTAAAATTCCAATCACCATTAATACATTAGTAATTTCCTGCAATATTTGGAAAAACAGCTATTTCAACTTGATAAGGTTTACAAGATTCATTTAAAAACTTCTTACACTTCAAGCCTTGGACTTCTAGGTAAGAAATATACTAGTCTCACCTTGCTCTGAGCTCGATTCCAAAACAAATGAAAGAAATAAATTGCAAACATAACAAGAAGCATTGCTGCAATTAATCAACCTAGAATTCAAGGGAGAAACTGTGTCTATTTTTAAATGCACTGTTACTTTAAGGGAAAACCCACTGGAGAAAGATGAAACCAAGCTGCATAATGAAAATCAAAACGCATTTGATGTCTCCATCCTTGCAAAGACAGTAATCCTAACGTGCAAGCAGTACTGCTGGGCTGAATCTTCCCAGTTTGTCTATAAACTGAATGACAGGTACCTAGGCAAAACCCACAGAAAGAGCCCATCCACCACTCAAAGAATTCTGTCAGGAGGTCAGAACATGTTTCAGCGCTATTCTTATAGCTCCAGATAACTGGCTATTCCAAGAAGCAAGCATATGGAGAAATCCCCAAATCACCCTTCAAATCACTACTTAAAAGATTCTGATTAATAATGACGGTGGTGGCCCTAAAAATGATCAACTGATTATTTAGCCTTTCCAGCCAAGTGTCTGCAGTTGTAAAGTCTATCCACATTCCACAAAATTAAATCCCTGTTTGTCCACAATGGACAAAGCTTCATAACATCAAATAGTAGCTAATAGTAACAATCCTTATGGTTAAGAGTGGCAAGAAGCAGGTGCCAAACCAGCAAGGAAAATAGAAGCCACAGAAACATAGGAGTTGACAATTCTACCTGTTTCCTAGATTGCTTTGAAGAATCTGACCCAGCAGAATTTTTTTCTGAAATATGTGAAAATATTCAGTTTGGGGGTGAGGGGATGGGGGAAATGTACTGGTGATCTAGGCAGCCAATGTAATCTGTAAATTTCTTAATTTACTCCATGAGTTTACTTGCTATTAACATGAAATATACAACTATAATGCTATACATGGATCTAAAATACTATAAATATTTAAAATGTATCTAAAAATATTATCCAAGGATACAACCATTACTGTTAAAAAGCATTTAATACATTTTAAATATAACTTAGCTATTTACTATCACCGTAACAATCTGCACACTGGATAAAAATTTCTAGCCTCAGCACAAAAAGCAAAAAATTCTCAAACTTACCTCCTGATAATTTCTTCCCCCAAATTTAGTAAACTATGCCTGGACACTGCATGATTATAGAATGAAGGCAGTTGCTTCCTTTAGCAATAAAGTAACAAACCCTACTTCAGAGTTGCTGTTCAGTGAAAAAAAAAAAAAATCTCCAGAGAGCAAAAAAATCGCTAAATTGTATCACATCAATCAACAGGTAACAGGTGACTTTTAGAAACACAAACTCACTCCGGAGGAGTTAATTTTTCAAATCTCCCTGGTTTCTCGTTCCTATTTTTCCAAGCTACTGCACTGCTTTACTGAATGAATTCCAACCGTTTTCTTCTCAGGGGCTTACCAGAAAAATGCCAAATATTCAAATTATTTTAGGGCATTTTCCCATACTGTTGCGTGGAATAGAGCAGAATTAATAAGGATCCAACAGTTACCACTTTTCAAATGCAAATATGTTGCCATCTAGTAAATGCGGCCCCTCTTAAACATCCCCCCAGTGTCTACACAGCTCCGGGCACTACTTTTGTTTTCCTGAAAATCAAAATTCGCGCATTACATTCAGACATTATCTCAACCCAGCACCAACAAAATAATAGATCTTAAATGGTCCAGGCCTGAGCCTGCATCGTACAAAACTGTTTTGCTTTACTGCGGGGGCGGGAGGGGGTTCCCTCCCACTCCCTATTTTACACAAAGTTCCTTAACTAGTCTGCCAAATAAAGCCAACAGCGCAGGGGTGGAAAGAACCAGGGCACCGGGTTCCACGGTGCCGGCCTTGGGTGGTCACTTCCTCGCCTCAGGCCTCAGTTTTCTCATCTGTAAAATGTGGCGATGGGACCATCATCTCGAGGGTCCCAGCCGGCCCGCTCGGGGTGTCTCACCGCGGGCCGGGGACAGCGGACTGCTCCCGGCTCTGGCCCGGGGAGTCCTGCCTCTAGATGGGAGGGGATAAGGGGGAGGGGGGCAGAGGGAGGGCAGAGAGGAACTTGGACTTGCAACAGCTTCAGACGGGAGCGTGCGACAAACTTGAAGCAGTCCTCCTAACAATAGGAAAGAGCACTCCCATTTTCCTGGCTCAAACTTGCAGGAGGCGGCGGGGCTGCACCCGCTTTTACCTTTCTCCCTGTTTGCTGTTAGATGGAGGAGGGTGCAGGACCGTTTGATTCCCTTCCATCTCCACCACGCACTTGGTGTTGAGTTCCAGTTCTGAAAGCAAAAGGGGAGACAGCGTTGCAGAGCCGAGCATCCGCTCCCGCAGCCCGCCTCTGCGCGCCCGCGCGGGGCTCTCCCCCGGGAGGCGGCCCGAGCCGGGAGCCGGCGCACCGGGTCCCCGCGGCCGCGGCGGGNGCCGCTGCGATCCGGATCGGGGCGTTCGCTTTCTCCCCGGGGGCCCGGTCTGTCCCCCGCGCCCCCGGCGCAGGCGGGGACCCCACGGGCACCACCTTGAACTCCAGTCACCTTCTGGGGCCGCTGTCACCGCAGCCCCCGGGAGCCCCTGGGCGTGCCGGGTGGGCAGGCCTTACCCACCGGGGGAAATGCGCCTCCACCGGCCGGCCGCCCCCTCCGCCCGCCCCGCGCCCAGCGCGCAGCGGCGTTTTCCGATGCTGAGCCGAGGCTGGAGGTCAATCCGTGCCTCCGCCACCAAATGAGCGTGTTTGCAAAGATTGCCCTCGCTTCCTTCCCGGCCCTTGCGCGTCTCCGGCAGGAGAGATGTCCATTGTGGGCTGGGAGGGTCATTAACTCTTACATAAGAATTTAAGAGTCATGGATTTTGGTCGCGCTTGCCAAAGACCGACCTCGCTGCCAGGGCGGAACTAGGGGGGGGATCTGATTTATTCTGCGCGGTTCAACAAGTGCTTCTTGGGCGTGCACTAGGTGCCCGGCCTGTTGAAGCGTACACAGAGTCTATAATCCCGAGTTGAGATCAGGGGAAATCTTTCTAGCTCGCTTAAATGTAGAAATTCAATTTTTCATAAGGTCATTCGAAGTTGTCTTGGGGGCCTACTGTGTGCAAGGTGCTGTGGAGGACACGCCAAAACGTGAATAAAGTCACGCATCCAGTACTGCAGACACACACTCTGTGACGGGAAAAATAGAACCGAGTCAGGTGTGACGCCAGACTGTTGGCAGATGCTTCAAGAGGTTCAGTTCTGTCTCCAACAGGTGCCAAGTAGGGGCTTGACTCTCTCCCCACCCCACCCCCTATCCTCTGTCATATCACGAAAGCCTGGAATACCTAAGAAATTTCCACTTTATTCGAAAGGCAAGGGGAAACTGAATGGAGACTTTGGGTTTGGAGCCGGGGACGGACTCTAAGACTATCATCAAGATAAGAGGTGATGATGGCTAGAGCAAAGCCAGCGGTGGTAAAGATGCAGGAAGCAGGACTTACTATGGAGATAAGAGTGAAATAACTCAGCAGCCACTGGGACATGAGGGTGTGTGTGTGTGTGTGTGTGTGTGTGTGTGTGTGTGTGTGATGTCTAATACTGGAGTGGGTTGCCATGCCCTCCTCCAGGGGATCTTGCCAACCCAGGGACTGAACTTCGGTCTCCTGCTTTGCAGGCGGATTCTTTATCCTCTGAGCCACCAGGAAAGCCCATACTGTCCCATAACACAGCATAAATAAATAAGAGGTCTTCAGGTGAGAGGGGCATGGTTAATTTGCTACTGCTGGTTAAATAGTTTCCTCTTTTTTTTGGTCGGTTGGTTGGTTGGGGTTTTGTTTGTTTTTGCCAAGTGGTCCTTCTGTTTTTCCATCTTTCTCCACCCTCTCCAACCTGAAAGTCCCAAATCAATCCTTACCTCCTCTGAGAAGAGTTTACCAAGTGTTTCTTCTTCGAAACAGTTTTCACCCTAACTCATGTGAGACTGGGCTTCCCTGGTGGCTCCGTCCATAAGGAGTTCACCTGCAACGCAGGTTCGACCCTTGGGTCGGGAAGATCCCCTGGAGAAGGAAATGGCAACCCACTCCGGTATTCTTGCCTGGAGGATCCCATGGACAGAGGAGCCTAGTGTGCTGTAGTCCGTGGGGTCACAAAAGAGTTGGACGTGACTTGCACGTCCCTATAACACTTCCACAACCCTCCTCCCAAGCGGGCATCCCTCTGCCTGAGTTCGTTTGCTGGCAGAGTGCCCTCTCATGGGTGACTCTAGCATCCTACTGTTAGAGAAGGGCTCCGTACAAGGGCTTCCCTCCTAGTAAAGAGGGAAAGAATCTGCCTGCAGTGCAGGAGACCGGGGTTCGATTCCTGGGTCGGGAGGGTCCCCTGGAGAAGGAAATGGCAATCCACTCCAGTATTCTTGCCTGGAGAATCTCGTGGACAGAGGAGCCTGTCAGGCTATAGTCCATGGGGTTGCATGAGTCTGACTCGACTTAGCAACTAAACCACCATGAAGAATCAAATCTGCCTCCTTGTAAACTGTAACTGTTGATTTCAGTGCTGCCGTCTAGAGCTTCCCCCACTGCAAATTAAACTCCTATACCAACAGCCCTTCAGACACTTGAAAATGGCTCTTATGCTCTTCTGAAGACCTTTCTTCACAATATGCTGTACTAGGGACTTCCCTGGTGGTCCAGTGGCTAAGACTCCATGCTCCCAATGCAGAAGTCTTGGGTTCCATCCCAGGTCAGGGAACTAGAACCCACATGCCAAAACTAAGAGTTTGCAGACCACAACTAAAGACCCTGCATGTTGCAATGAAGATAGAAGATCCCACATGCCACAACCAAGACCTGGCACAGCCAAATAAGTAAATAAATTATTTTTTTTAAAAAAAAGAATATGTTGTTCTAGTTACTGTGGTTATTTAACACATCCTCCCAGCAGATTAGCATCTTAAAACCATTTAGGAAGGTCTCATCTGGTTCAATCATGAGATTGCAGAGATGGCAGTCAGGTGGGGCTGGAACAGCTGGAGCAGAGCAGACATTCCTCTTTCTCTAGGTACTTTCAAGCTTTCTCAGTATGGTCTTTCTGCATGGGCGGCTTGAGCTTCCTCACAGCATGGTCGCTAGGTTCTAAGTGTGAGCATTTTAAGAGTCACAGTATAAGCTCCTCCAGCTTTTATGACCTTACATTAGACGCTCTGTAGTGCCACTTCTGTAGTCTCACAAGCCCTCCCCAATCCCAGGAGAGAGCTACAGTCCCTTTATCTCAGTGGGGGAAATGTCAGAGTGGATCTTTCAAGATCTTGTGATGTGGGAGACATTTGTTGTAGCCCTTTTTGGAAAGTGCAGCTTGCCACATATTGCATTCTCTCAACTGTCGTGGGCATCCTTCTCTGAGACTATAACAAAGTGAGGGGACTTCCCTGGTGGTCCAGTGGTTAAGACTCCTCGGTCCCAAAGCAGGGGGCATGGGTTTGATCCCACATGCCACTCCGTGTGGCCAAAAAAACAAAACAAGAAAGATAAGGCTTAGGAATGACATAGACTGTATTTGAATCTTGTCTCACATATAGCCTGGAACAAATTTTGAACTCCCCACAACAAATTTTCAACTGGTTCATGAGTAAAGAAGAACTATGAACTCCTCTCCCGCAAGATGTACTAAACACCTTTTTGAGTAAATGCCTGCATACAATGTTCACTTTTTCTGAGAGCAGCTGCTCCCTCTCCCTCCATCACCCCTTGACTTCTGGACCTCAGCTACCATGTTTGTACGATATAACCCCACGTTCCTGGTAAAATTCAATGGACCCCAAGGGCCATTCCTGCCACAAGCTGAATCTATCCGTTTCTTCCCCCTGGAATTCTAGGCTTGGGATTCAGAGGGTTGTGACGGAAAGTATGACTCTTGGAATCAAACTGTCTGGTTTGAATTCTGAAACTTCCTTTTCTGAGCAAGAAAATATGTATTAACTATTCTGGGCCTCAGTTTCCTTATTTGGATGACGTTGTGGTTGTTTAGTCATTCAGCTGTGTCCAACTCTTTTGCGATCCCATGGACTGTAGCCTGCCAAGCTCCTCTGTCCATGGCATTTTCTGGGCAAGGTTACTGGAATGGGTTGCCATTCCCTTCTCCAGGGGATCTTCCCAACCCAGGGATCAAACCCATGTCTCCACATCTCCTGCATTGCAGGTGGATTCTTTACCGCAGTGCCACCAGGGAAGCCCATAAAGCCCAGTGTTTACTTATAAAGATTAGATGCATTCATGGAGAAAAATTCGGATGATGATAATCGATGATAGAAAAAGTCCCTACTACATAGGGTTGTTATGAGGATAAAAGGAGTTCATATCTGTGTTGATCTCATCTCAGCATTGTAAGTGGAAGCTGGCACCTCCCTGGAATCAACCTGAGGGCTCTGGAAAGACTATTCTTCATGATCACAGGGAGGTTCACACTGAAAAAGAGTTCAGAAGTCATTGTTGCAGGACATTAAGGGAAGTGAGAACTGTTTGGGTTTGTGTTTCCAGGTTTCTAAGACCCTTCCAGGTTCTTCTTCTAGGCTCTGTTAAGGCTGAGCTCCATTCCTGCTCCTTGAATCTACACTGAGAAGAGAATTAACCTGGGAAAAAGTGCAATGGACCTGAGAAGGCAGAAGATGCTCATGGAACAGTAGCAATGGTATTTTGTCCTTGGAGAATGTCAATAAGTGACGCAAAATATTGTTGGCATTGACCTCTATCCAGAGAAGGGGAGTACGTGAAGGAAGGACATAGACAATAAACACAATGAGAATGAAAGGCAGCACAGTGCAGGCAGCGAAGGCATTCTCCCTGGGGTCATGCAGCCGGGGTTCCGATTCCAGCTCTGACATGCGCAGTGGCAACACCTCAAACCTGCACATGGCCCACTCAAGGCCAGCAAGGGAACCTGTCGTCCTGCCACAATTGGCTCTTCAGGCCGGTTTGCTACGAGGGGATGAGGTGGGGGCCGTTCCCAGGGCTCTTCCAAAGAAAGAAGTTCCCAAAGGGTGTTTATGGGAGGAGCGCTTATGGGAAACCCGACCTCAGGCATTTGGCAGGCAGAAATCCCAGTGGTTATCGATCTAAGAAGGTGTCAGAGGCTGTAGACCAGGGATTTTAACTGGATGGGCTTATTCAAAAGAATCTGGACTCTTCTATTGCATAAGGCTTTGTTGGATTTTGCTGTTGTTTATTCTTATCTTTGTTTAATTGAAGTAAGCAGCAAAAAAAAAAAAAAAAAGCTGATAAAAGAATGGATGTGCTTTTCTCTAGTGGCATCAAGGGGAGTTCTGGGACCAGACAGTGTCACACTCTGGGGTCGGTCTGAGGACCAAGCAGCTCAGGGAGCAGCAAGGCAGCATCCTTCTTAGATGGACAACCACTGGGGTTTCTGCAGTCACGAGACTGCTGTATAGAATTAAAGGTTCATCAGAGAGCTGATCTAGACTGAGAAGATCCTGGTTGTGGGTCCGAGCTATGCACAGGCTTTGGGGAGCTTTGCTGATAGCACAGCCTGGCCCAGACTTTCTTTTCAAGCATCTCTACAATCCCCATAGTCCAGCATACAGTTACTGCGTCCACTAGACACTAGACACGCCCCCATCCACCCAGTCTATGCACTTTACACACATGCTCTTTGTTAGGAAGAGCCTTTACTTTAGAAACCGGAAATGCCCTGGGATCTGAAGAACCCAACAGACACCTGATCACAAACATTCCGAGGACTCTGGAATCATCTGATTTCAAGCTATTTCAGCCAAAAGGGGGCTGCCAGGCTGATGTCAAAACTGCTAATGGCTTAAGTCTACAGAGGATCAAAGAGTAATGATGGCATAGGCAAATACTTAAATAAGAGGATTTCCATAAATCTACTTTTAACAGCGGTATCCGTCAGCCTAGGCTAAGTCATGCCGTGGTAACCCCACAACCTTTGAATCTCGGGGGCTTGTGTAAACGAGGCTTTATGCCCAACTCAGGTGACGTGTCCACCAAAGCCCGGCTGTGGCTCTGCTCCTGTCACTTTCAAGTCCCGGGCCAATGAAACAGCCTCCACCTGGGACAATGCCAGTTTTGTGGCAGAAGGAAAGCAAAGGATGGCAGACCACACAATGGCTCTTCAAGATTTTGCTCAGAAATTATGCATATCATTTCTCAATTTTCACTGGACCAAGAAACATCTCCATTCGTGGACCTTCTGCATTTGGGATTATTAAAGCCAGGAAAGATTCCCACAATGCTGAGAACCAGATAGGAATGTATTTATATCTGGTTCCCAAGAGAAACTGATAGGAAAAATTACTGCCATCAAAATAAAAGTGTGGCCATTCTAGTGCACCTTTGTGTTATCGTTTTCTATCAAAGATGCAAAATGGTTTTGGTTTTTTTTGGCAAAATGTTTTTTTAAAGAAATATATATTTTGGGGTTCATCATGGGTCCTGGCTCATGGCTCCTTATAACTCTTGTAATTAACTAAGTGATTAGAGCATAGGAGCATCTTTCATTATAATATTTGGGCTTAATCCTTCATTCCTGAAATAGCTCCAGAGCACTAAAGGGGAAATGAGGAGATTTTTGGAAAGATAACCACTGGATGAGGGCTGGTTGCCAGGGAAACCGACCATGTGATTACAAGGCTGGGAATTAAAAGCTCACCTACCCTCTCTACCTCTATCTCAGAGGCAGGGAGGTTGAATCAAACACCAATGGTCAGTGATTGAATCAACCATATGTATACAAGGAGTTCAGTTCAGTTCAGTTGCTCAGTCATGTCCGACTCTTTGCAACCCCATGGACTGCAGCACGCCAGGCCTCTCTGTCCATCACCAACTCCAGGAGTTTACTCAAACTCTTGTCCATCGAGTCGGTGATGCCATACAACCATCTCATCCTCTGTTGTCCCCTTCTCCTCCCGCCTTCAATCTTTCCCAGCATCAGGGTCTTTTCAAGTGAGTCATATACAAGGAAGCATCCATTTAAAAAAAATGATGGTGGTTGGGAATCTTCCAGGTTGGTGAGCACGTGGAGGTGCTGGGAAGGTTGCTTGCCGTGGAGAACATGGAAGCTCCCTGCCACTTCCCACACACCTTGCCCTTGTGTCTCTTTCATCTGACTGTTCCAGAGTTGTATCCTTTTATAATCAACCAGTGATCTAGTAAGTAAGCTTTTTTCTGGAGTTCTGTGAGCTGCTCTAGCAAATTACTGAACAGAGGAGAGGGTCATGGGAATGTGTAGCATGACCTGGACTTGCTATTGATGTCTGAAGTGGGAAGGGAGAACAGTCTTGAGGGACAGAGCCCTTAACCTGTGGGATCCGATGCTACATCCAGGTGGATGCTGTCAGAGCGGAATTAAATTGGGTTTCCTTGGTGGCTCAGACAGTAAAGAAGCTGCCTGCAATGCAGGAGACCTGGGTTCAATCCCTGGGTTGGGAAGATCCCCTGAAGGGGGGTATGGCAACCCAGTATTCTTGCCTGGAGAATTCCATGGACAGAAGAGCCTGGTGGGCTACAGACTATGGGGTCACAAAGAGACGGACATGACTGAGTGACTAACACTTCTGTAGGGCACCAGTTGGAATCTCCTGAAAACTGGAGAACTGCTTAGTACAGGGGAAAACCCTACCTGTTTGGAGTACAGACATATTCAGTGACTAGATGGACAACAAAGTGTGTTTTTTCCTTTAGAGAAGGTCTCCAGCCATCTACCACAATAACATTTATATCTCACAATGGTTCATGGTAGCGAATATTTATTCAACATTGACTACCTCCCAAGCACAGGTTCATTATTTAATTCTCACAGTACCCTCTGAGACACACACTATTATTATCCTGCATTATATGATAGGTTAAAAAATAAAGAGAAAATTTAGGTAAGCTGTTCAAGGAAGGGAAGTGGCAGCCTTGGGATTTCAATGCACATACAAATTGAAACATGCATGTGAGTGATTTTCATAAAACGGATAATAGATTTCCCCTGACTCACCTATATTTTTCTGGCACAAAAAAATTAAATAGGCAATATAAATAATAGTCTGTTACTATTATGATTTACAGTTTAATGCACTATGTAGCTTCCATAAAAGGGTCATAAAACATTATGGGAGACAGATGAGAAAAATGGGGGATGACAGGGCATTATTAGTAACATCATTAGTAATGATGTCCAGTCTGGACAATGCTTCTGTCAGTGAACATGCACTGATACTTTTTTTTTAAAGCAACAGTTTTCATTTAGTCAAATTAGTATCAAGACAGACTCAAAGCAATGAGAATTCCATGGAAATTAGTAAACTTACTTGGAGTTAGTTAAAGGCAGCTGTAATCCATTGGTTTGAAATCCCTCTTGGACTGTGAACTTCTTAAAGAATTAGAATCTACGAAGTGACAGGCACTTTGAAGGACCCCAGTAAAAGGTAGTTATTTTCATCCTTGCTGTTTTTGAATATAGGAGAAACTTGCCCTGCCCGTCTGAATGTGGCCAGTCCATAATGAATGAATGGAGTAGTAGGTTCTCTGTCCTTTGCAAAATAACATGGAAGTAAACGCATAGGCTATTGTGATGTTTTCAAATTCTTTTCCCTTCAGAGTCTGTGATGCCTTCTTTTGAACATTCTCAGCGTTGTCAGATCTTCACTGGTTACCTGGTCCTGGGATTTTCCAGCAGGAAGGAAACTTAGAGGTCATTTAATCCAGTCACTGCCTTAGAAAAAGTGGCCCCTGAGACATTAGGTGGTGAGACTGAAGTTAAACAGCCGGTCAGTAACAAGGCCAGGAAGATAGGTATGATTTTTTTCCAGCTCTGTTGAGAAATAATTGACATACATCATTATAAGTTTAAGATGCATAGCATGATGGTTTGGTTTACATATATTGTGAAATGATTACCAAAATAGGTTCAGCAAACATCCATCTTCTCCTGTGTATCATCTGGCAGTGTTCACTATAGTACATCATTTTGAATTCCTGGTACTGATTTAGCTTATAAGTGAAAATCTGGACATTCTAACCACCTTCCTCCATTTCCACCCCCCTCCACCTCACCCCCTGCCTCTGGTAACCACAAGTCTGATCTCTTTTACTATGAGTTTGTTGTTGTTTTTTTGGTTTAGGTTTTTAAATCCCACATATAAGTGAGATCATATAGTATTTGTTTTTCTCTGAGTTATTTCATGTAGCATAATGCCTTCAAAGTCCATGCATGTTATTACAAATGGAAGGATTGCTTCATTTTTATGACTAAATAATATTTCATCTCACACACACACACACACACACACACACACACACACAATTTCTCCATTCATCCATTGCTGGACACAGGTTGTTTCCATGGCTTGCTTGTCTATTATAAATAATGCTGCTATGAACATAGGGGTGCAGGTATCTTTCTGAGTGAGTGTTTTAGTTTCCTTTGGTTATATTCCCAGCTGGATCACACAGTAGCCCTATTTTCAATTTTTTGAGGATTCTCCATCCTGTTTCCCATAACGGTTGCATCAATTTACAGTCCTAACAACAGTGCACAAGGGTTCCCTTTTCCACATCCACACTAGAATTTGTTATCTCTTGTCTGGTTTTGATGATGGCCATTCCAACAGATGTGAAGTGATAGCCCATTGTGGTTTTAATTTGCATTTCCTTAATGACTAGTGACATTGAGCAGCTTTTCATGTACCTGTTGGCCTTTCTTATATCTTCTTTGGAGAAATATCTCTTTAGGTTCTTGGCCCATTTTTAAATTGTGTTATTTGGCTTTTTGCTATTGAGTTATATGAGTTATTTATATGTTTTGGATATTAACCTCTTACCAAATATGATTTGCAAATTTTTTTCCCCATTCCATGAACTGTCTTCTCACTTTTTTCATAAACAGCCTTAAGTTATTTGTAGTTAAGTCTGGAGATAAAACGGGTGAATCTTCTGGGTAATATTGGTTGGTTCAAAACCAAGATATAAATGAAAATAAACTAGTCCGTCTCTCTCTCATAAGAATGATGGCAATTCCAAAAGAGGAGTCCCCAAAGTGCTAAGATGTCATCAGTGGAATGTGTGAACTGGCTTTGAAGAGGGCTGTCCACACCAACCCCCCACAACCCCTAACATCTTTCAGGATGTTAACCCTTGGCCGGGTCACAGGTTTTTCATCTAAAACTCCTTTTCTGTGAAGTTGCAGGCCTGGAGAGCCTCAGCATCTTACTTGACCTCAACTCTGCCCACGCCTTCTAACTTAATGCTTTGTAGACTTGCATCAACCCAAGTTCCTCCTCTGAGCCACAAAGCTAAGAAAATGATTCCAGTGACACTTTAATCATTTCTCCCAAGGTTAACACCTAACTAGCCCCATTCTAGATGCCTGGGAGAAAAGTTAACTCAGTATATACAATGGATACTTCAGAGCATTGGAGCTTAACTCCCCTGCATAACCAGGTGAAGAAAGATTCCTTTTGGCTTTTCCTGTAATTACTAATCTGTCAGAGTCGGAGATCTGATACAACCAAAGATACAAATTTACCCTGATCCTGCCCCCAGCTCCCACAAACCCCTGCCTAGTTGGGATTTTCAATAAAGACCATGCTCTTGGTAATGAATAAGCACAGACACATTTGTTTAAAAAGAACAGCTTTCTTTTAGTCATGTTACTATCAAGACAGATAACTAGTTGCTAGCTATGTCATTGTGGATAATTTAGTTACATTCTCTGAACCACTGTTACTTCAGTTGATTAAGATAGACATAACATGCCCTTTGTAGCAGTCTGAGTATTAAGTGCTATAATCCATTTAAAGCACTTAGCATTGTGCCTAATACATAGTAAATATTAAAACATAAAGTACTGATAGTGATTTAAAATAATAAAATAAGATTTACTATAATAGTAATTATAAATTCAATAAATAATATACTTTTAAATGAGTAGAATAGGAAAAACAGATCAGAACAAATGCAAGAAAGAGTGAAATACAAACTAAAATATAATACATATAATAAGGGGTTTTATAGATCGATAAATTAATTGTTACTAGAATTGTAACAATTAGATACTTGAGTAAATTACTAAAAGTTTTTCATATTAAAAGAAAAAAAGACAGGGACTTCCCTGGTGGTCCAGTGGTTAAGACTTCACCTTTCAATGCAGGGGGTTCAGGTTTGATCCCTGGTCAGGCATGATCCCACATGACTCATGACCAAAAAACCAAAACAAAACAGAAGCAGTACTGTAACAAATTCAATAAAGACTTTTAAAAAATGGTCCACATTAAACAAAAATCTTAAAACAAATAAAAATAAGAAAAAATTTAAAAGATAAACTAGTGAAAATTTCATGGGAAAGTAACACACTGACCATGTTTGGAGTCAATGAAAGGCAGCTGTAAATGAGACAGTTGGATGGCATCACCGACTCAATGGACATGAGTTTGAGCAAATTCTGGGAGATGGTGAAGGACAGGGAAGCCTGGCGTGCTGCAGTCCACGGGGTTGCAAAGAGTCGGATATGACTTAGCGACTGAACACCAAAATGAAATAATATTTCCCTCCCATGGGAGTGAAAAATCCCTTTTTCCTTCAAAAAGATTCAGGATGTGCGCCTGATCCTTGAACTAGGATTCCTAACTTCCGAGGGCCTCCTTAAACACTTCTACACATCTTTGCTGGTAGGGACTGTGGTTGTCTCCAGAAGGTGTTTAAGATGGAAGGAAAAGAATAACCTGCAAGATCTTTGAGGCGTTCAGGTTTCCATATGAAGCATTTGCTCAGGGATGGTTAATTTCCCTTCTCACTTGCTCTGCTTTCCAGGTAGCACCACTGGTACAGCTTTGTAATTTTAGAAAGCATTTCCTAAAGACTTTGGCAAAATTCTGAGACAAATGGAAAAAAAACAGCACTAAAAATGACTGTTCCCTTTTGAATTAAAAAACCCCACATTTTTGTGGAGGGAGTAATGCACTGAAGTGGCCACGGACAGATGTGTTTCCAAAAATAGATTGTAAGGCAACACTTGTGAGGCTATTGAGACCCTGGCTGTTTATCTGAATGCTTTCTCCACAGAGCTCTACGAAGTTCAAGCATCTATTGACCTTGGAAAGGCTCTAGCTGCATATGTATGTATTGACTCCATAGTCTATGAAATCATTATTATAAAAGGTCAAATATCTTCATATATTTGACAAAGGGAGAAAGGAGTGATAATAAATTTTCCTATAAAAGTCTTTTATAAAAAACTTAACCAAATCCAGAGTATGGAGCATTTGATCCCAGTTCAAACAAATTGACTATAAACAGGTATTCTGGGGCCAATCAGAGAAATCTCAATATGGATTGGGTATTACAAGATAATTAAGTAAAACATTTTTAAAATTGTTACTTTTGTGAAGTGATAATAATAGTTTGGTTATGTAAATTATGTCATTTTTTAAAAAGATATATACTGAAATAGTTAAAGGCAAATATGTATGGGATTTGCTTTAAATTCTTTATCAAATATGTATCACAGATGGTGCAAAAGTGACTTAATATCAGTTAATATGGGTGACTGTTATGCTGGGGTTTATTATAATATTCTCTTGATTCATAATGTTTAAGAAGATATCATAAAGTGTTCTCAAAATAAAAATGCAAATTAAAAATTTCTAAAGAAAACTCTAATATTAGAAACAGATCATTACTCACAAAACAAGTAGATGTATTTTGCAAATGGAGATAATGATGAATCAAAAATAGGTCATTTGCAAACCCAGTGCAAAGCAAATTAGGTTTTTCCATGAACTTCGTCAATAATTCATGATCAGACACAATGACAATATTGAACACAGGAGCATGACCGTGATAAAGAAATTGGAAGGTTAAAGTAGTAGAAAATGTCTCACAATCTCCCTGACCATCTGTCTTAAATAGCTGCCTTTCTCCAGGCACCTTCTGTCCTCTTACCCTGGGCTGTTTTTTTTATTCCTGTTTTTTTATTCCTGAGAACCCTGACCTGGGTGCTCTGCTTTAGAGGACTGCCCTGTTCCAGCCAGACCCCTTCTCCTGGGGCAAGAAGTCTGCAGGGCCAAGGGTATATGTTCATCAGAGCCTACACCTTTGCATTAGGGCTCAATTGAGGCTCTTACCAGCCTTTTGCTACTGTGAATGCCCTCAAACATACAAAGGTCTTTAGGGAAAATTCACAGAAGTGGGACTGCTGGTTCAAATGACTTGTACCTTTAAAATTTTGAGAGGTGCTGCTCATTGCCATCTAGAGTGGTTATACCAAGTTACAGCCCCTTCAGCGGTGTAGAATGCCTGTTTTCCTCTACCTTTGCTACCAAAGCATGCGTGATACTGCCTTGAAAATGCACCACTCAGACTTCGTGCTGCAGAAAATGTAATCTCCGAAGGGTCGGAATCCACCACTGCCCAGGCACGGAGTCCAGGCTTCCCAGAGGCTCCTCCCAGGCAGGGGCTCAGTGCAGCCAGGACCCTCAGGAAGGCCCAGTCCCGAAAGATGTAGGATTGTTCTGCAGGTGACTTCAGCTCAAACACTCTCCATCAGCCTGGCCAAACTCTTAGAAGTGCTGAAGCCTGAGACTCTCCCTATCCCATCCTCCTTCCCCTTCCCCTCTTGCCTTCCCAAGTCAGGTTAGCCTCATGGGCTAAAGGGCTCTCTTCTGCCTTCACTGGAGTTCCCCTAGTCCATCTCTTGCATGTCTAATCCCATCTTGATCCCTGTTTTTCAGGAAACCAGAGTTACAACAGCATGTTGGTCATCTCTGCCAGTATGATAGGTAAAAATCTAGCATCTCAAAAAATTCTGATTTTTCA